ACTACCATCACAGGTGGGTGGGGTGTTATGGACACTACCATCACAGGTGGGGGTGGGGGTGTTACGGACAACTAAACCCTCACAGGTGGGTGGGTGTTAAATTTGGGCACTACCCTCACAGGTGGGTGGGGGGGTTTATTGGACACACCAACAATGGTGGGGGGGTGTTATGGACCCCTACCATCACAGGGGGGTGGGGGGTGTTATTGGACACTACCATCACAGGTGGGTGGGGGTGTTATTGGACACTACCATCACAGGTGGGTGGGGGTGTTATTGGACACTACCATCACAGGTGGGTGGGGGTGTTACTGGACACTACCATCACAGGTGGGTGGGGGGTGTTATTGGACACTACCATCACAGGTGGGAAGCGAGGTGTTACTGGACACTACCATCACAGGTGGGAAGCGAGGTGTTACTGGACACTACCATCACAGGGGGGGTGGGAGTGTTACTGGACACTACCATCACAGGTGGGAAGCGAGGTGTTTCTGGACACTACCATCACAGGTGGGGGGGGGGTGGTTTCTGGACACTACCATCACAGGGGGTGGGAAGCGAGGTTTACTGGACACTACCATCACAGGTGGGGTGGGGGTGTTATGGACACTACCATCACAGGTGGTTTGGGGGGGGTATTGGACACTACCATCACAGGTGGGGGGGGTGTTACTGGACACTACCATCACAGGTGGGTGGGGGTGTTACTGGACACTACCATCACAGGTGGGCGGGGGTGTTTCTGGACTACATACAGTGGGTGGGGGTGTTATTGGAACTACCATCAAGGGGGGGTGGGGGTGTTATTGGGCACTACCACACAGGGGGGCGGGGTAGTTAACTGGACACTACCTTTAAGGGGGGTGGGGTGCTATTGACACTTAGCCATCCCCAGTTGGAAGCAGGTGTTTTGGACACACCATCACGTGGGTGGGGTGTTATTGAACTACCATCACAGTGAGTGGGGGGTGTTATTTGGGCACTCCATCACAGGTGGAAGCCCAGGTTTATTGGAAACTACCACAAGTTGTAAGCGAGGTGTTATTGGACAAATACCATCACAGTGGGTGGGGGTTTATTGGGGCACTGCCATCAAAAAAGGTAGGGTGGGGGTTTATAGGACACTGCCATCACAGGTGGGTGGGGGTGTTATTGGAACAACCATCACATTGGGAACGAGGTGTTATGGACACACCATCACAGGTGGTGGGGGTGTTATTGGACACTGCCATCACAGGTGGGTGGGGGTGTTATTGGACACTGCCATCACAGGTGGGTGGGGGGTGTTATTGGACACTACCATCACAGGTGGGAAGCGAGGTGTTATTGGACACTACCATCACAGGTGAGTGGGGGTGTTATTGGACACTGCCATCACAAGTGGGTGGGAGGGTGCTGTTGGACACTGCCATCACAGGTGGGTGGGGGTGTTATTGGACACTACCATCACAGGTGGTTGTGGACTATTATTGGACACTGCCATCACAGGTGGTTGGGGACTATTATTGGACACTGCCATCACAGGTGGGTGGGGGGTATTGTTGGACACTGCTATCACAGGTGGCTTCAGGGGGTGTTGGTGGACACTGCTATCCCAGATGGGTGGGGGATTGTTGTTGGACACTGCCATCACAGGTGGGTGGGGGTGTTGATGGACATTGGCATCACTGGTGGGAGGGGGAGATTAAGATAACATTTATAGATAAAAAGAGAGATAAGGAGAATTAGAGATAACGAGCAAGTGGGTTAAAAATTGCCCTACACACAATCTTGAGTTACCCAATCTCTCTACTGATCCCTGGTAATGTTATCATTACCAAACATCTACCAGTCCACCCCATTCACACATATTTACCACACCACCCCCTACCCTATCGTATACTATCCCCCCCCCAAAAAAAAAGCCCCCACCTCTGCCCAAATACCTGCGACCCCCAACCCAGATAACTACTTCCTCCTCCATAAAGCAAAATCCAGCCTCTTAATATTATTTACTATACATATTATCTAAACTCAGCGAAATACACCAATTCCCATTTGTTACATCCCTTGCATGTAATACCGCGGCTCTGGGAGGTCCAACCAAAATGTTTATAAAGACCAGAAAATATACACGAGTATTGTTCTCTCTGTGAGGTCAAGGACACAGCTATCTTGGAGTTACCGCAACTGTCAAAGTCTAAAAATTTTTGGGGTTATTACATACGTCAGAGACAAATTTGAAGGTTATTGCTGTTGTTAATATCCGAAAAAACTGAGATTAAGCTCATCAAAATATATTAGGAATTATTGTGTTTGTGAAAGGCACGGAATTTGAGATTATAGTTCGTAAAATATCCAAGATTTAGGGGTAACTGTGAACGTCAGTATCACAAACTCTTGACGTTGTTTTAAGCGTCAAAGGCACACATTCGAGCGTTTAGTCACTGTGTGTTACTATAATGAACATCTCGTTGCTGTGCTCTGCTTAGGTCTTCAGCCACTTCTCTCTCTTCCAAAAATACAATTTTTCTCCTGGTCAAAACAGAGAAGTATCGTATTTTCCGGCATATAAGGCGCACCTCTTCCGCAAAACTTCCAAGAAAATCCCCCTGCGTCTTATATGCTCAGGTAGTTTTTGGGTTACGTTTTAACGTAAATAAGAGGGTAATTAACCCTTGAATATGATTACTGATTTACCGTTAGAATACTTCTGTTGTGCGCCTTATATGCCGGAAAATAAAGTAAACACAGCGTCCAGAAGCTCGATATTCGAAAATCACAATCTAATGTTCTTGAAGTTCAGACTATTAGTATATTTGTGGCTATTATCATTATTAATGGCGGTTATAATAGTAATAATATTGACTAATAATACTGTAAAGTGTGTGTGTGTGTGTGTGTGTCGTGCAGAATAGGTAAAATTGGTCAGTGAGCAAGAATCGTTTAAAATTAAGTCCTTTCTAAAAATTTTCTCTTGTACGTTTAAAGAAATATTTTTTAAGTTTATGTTAATACAAAAATTAACCTTATTATAACAAGCGCGATTTAATTTAGTCTAATCCAACTAAATATATTTTAGACAAGTTTACAATAATTTAATAAACAAACACAATGAAATATATTTTTCCGTTAGGTTCGGAATGATTTTTGCGAAATTATTGCTTGCACAAATTTTTGCTTGCCTTATTCGGCAAGAAAAGCGTTGCTATTTAAGCCAAAATCGCAAGTTTTAACTCTTCGGCACGACATTTTGTATTATTTTATATATTATATATATTTATAATATATAATATTATATATATATAAAATATATATATATATATTATATATATAAAATTTTAATATATATTTTATATATATATATATATAATAGGCATAAGATCACAGTAAACAGGTGATTTCAGAATATGCAAAACAACCACTCTGAAAGAATAGAGAAATTCCAAGCGCTTTCGTGACTACTCACATTATCAAGGTTCAGATATGTTGATGATATTTTGTGTCTTATGCCCAAAAATGTAGATATACACCATTTCCGTGGAAAATTAAATAGCTTAGCCCATTCTATAAACTTTACTGTTGAGTTTGAAGAAAATAACTCATTGCCTTTTCTAGATGTTTTAATTATTAAGGGTAATAATGAATTCAAATTTAAAATTTACAGAAAACCTACAAATAACTGTTCCTATGTCCACTATTATTCCTCCCCATCAAGATAGAGTCAAACTGTTTGTTTTCTCATAAATGTTTTTGAGAGCTTTACGAATTTGTAGTCCTGAGTTCATAGACGAGGAAAATCCAAAATTTATGAATAGGTAATGATTTAAAATACCCAAAAAATGTAATTGATAAATCTATTAAAGTTGCTAAAAATACTTTTTACAACCCAAAAAGGGACAACCAGCCTTATTCAACTAAAATATGTTGGTTCTCCCTTACCATGAAACTTGGTTGATATGCCTTCTCTTCTTAAGGACTTTTAATATTAAATTTTGTATTCAAAAATCTTGATACAGTAAAAAAACTTTTGATAAAGAATTCCCCCCAAAATGCTGATGGATGTGTCTGTAAGTTTCCCTTTTGTAAAATTTGCGATAAAGTTTATTACGGTCAAACTGGAAAAAATCTCGAACTAAGATTAAAACAACATAAATTAGCATTAGAACGGGACAAGATTCCAATGCTCTATTTATTCATGTAAGAGTTTTTTAACCATCCAATTGATTTTCAAAAAGTTGAGAAAGTAGTATCAAGCAAGTCCTGGTCGACAGGAATATAATTGAATCTTGTTTCATAAAAAGTTTTGACAATAATATGAATATTTCCTTTGGTTTATATAAATTTGAAACCATTTATAATTAATAGAATTTGGGGAAAAATTTAATAATACACTGGACAAATAATAATTTTTTAATTTTCTTGGGTAGAATAGTTTGTTGGTGAGTTGTGCAAAGGACCTATCCAAGTTGGGTCGGCGCGCGTCGGGTGTTTAACCGTTGTGGGATCTGATAGTGAGGTGCTGGCCAGACCCCTTATATAGCTTCCTTGGATGCTTTACTTTCATAGTTCCTTGATAATGTGAGTAGTCACGAAAGCGCTTGGAATTTCTCTATTCTTTCAGAGTGGTTGTATATATATGTAATATAACAATAATAATAATAATGTAGGTAATCGGAATATCATCAGTGATAAGACGGTCCTTATCACAGTGCATTAGTTGCCATTTAGTATGTCCTAAAAAAAATCTCATTCCATTTTACTCAGTCATTTTTTCTAAGAGGGATCCATTATACATCTGCTATTCATATTCAGACCGACCTATGTAGGTAATCATTGAGCTGAGTCAGTAATGAGGATGATGTTGAAGGGGAAGGAGCAACTCGATAACTCATTGTCATACAACGAGTCTTTGTGTGTGTGTGTGTGCGTGTGGTGGTGTGTGTGTGCGTGTGTGTGTGTGTGTGCGTGTGCGTGTGTGTGTGTCTGCGCGCAATCTCTCCTCAGTCATTTGTTTTCTTGCAAGAAGTGAAGGGCGAGTGTTGATTGTGTAGCCTCACGTCAGTCATTTGTCTTGCAGGAAGAGACTAGCTTGGGTGTGCAACCTGTCGTCAACACGAGCTGGAGTGAGGATCATGGCAAAGGCATTTCTTTCGACTTCCCCTTACTTCGCTGCCTATCCTCATCTTTGACGTAATATTAGTTTAATTTTACATCTCTCTGCACGAGTTGCAGACATCTTACAAGTTTCACTTCGCCTTTTACCTAATTTGTTTGTTTGTTCATATGTTCATGAAAATTTCTGTATGAAATTGTGACCTGTATAGATCATCTTGCTCCGTTCGATGCATCCAGCTGATTAAATCATAGTTTTTAAACTAAAATACTCTGACACCAGCATCACACTACTACGAGTTCGTGTGGGCAGCCAGGACGCAGGAGACACAAACGACCGATACCCGAATGAGATTGCCCAGTGAAGCACTGTGCTTCACACTCCTCGCATGCACTTCGTCTCTTCGCGTCACCAGCACTAACCAACAGCAGCACATTCGCTACCCTACACAACACCAGCGTCTTCCCTCAGTCACCCTTCAAGGAAAACCACCTGCAGATGATAATGTCAGCAGCGCATCCGCTCACAAGACATGGGTTAGCAAGCATGATCTTGATGCTCCCTGGGAAACACGAAGTCAAGGCCAAAGACAGGCAGACTCATACGAGCTTTTAAGTTTGGGGAATACATCCACCAGAAGCGAATCGGTGAACAAGCGTGAAAATGAAATATCTTGGATGAGAAAAAATACACGGTCACATCCAGCAGAGATGGCAGGGAACAAACGAGAGACTAAAGTCTCAGCGTTATCCTCCACGCTACCTGATAAGGACCACGCTTCCGTAACTTCAAAAATTCAGACTTCTGACCTCGACCTAGTTATCCCTGTAACAGTCTACAATGCCTCTGCAACAAACTTTGATGACGTCAAGATCAGAGCAGGAGTCGAGGTGGTAACAAACGCCTTTTATGACTCCAGCTCCACCATCTCCTGCTCCTGTTATAAATCAGAACCCTGCAAGAACCAGGAGACTGGCAACTCCTATCGCATCTACGGTAAGTCCTTATCGCATTTATTACAAGTCCCATTAGAATCTATTGTCTCTATCCATGTACGGTAAGACTTTCGCATCTACAGCTAATCCCTATCTTTTCTACGGTTATTTACTGTATCTACAGTACATCATTATCAAGTCCTCGTCAACTATATAATGAGCTTAATGACTAAGTGGCTCATAGTTCTATTTTCATAGTACATAAAAGCCTCTCTCCGTATCTACAACTTATGCGTCATCAAATGTGCTGTGACGCAAGCTCGTTATACTGAAGTATGTGTGAACCCTCACCATACTGAAGTGTGTGTGAACCCTCACCATACTGAAGTATGTGTGAACCCTCACCATACTGAAGTATATGTGAACCCTCACCATACTGAAGTGTGTGTGAACCCTCACCATACTGAAGTATGTGTGGCAACCTCACCATACTGAAGTATGTGTGAACCCTCACCATACTGAAGTGTGTGTGAACCCTCACCATACTGAAGTGTGTGTGAACCCTCACCATACTGAAGTGTGTGTGAACCCTCACCATACTGAAGTGTGTGTGAACCCTCACCATACTGAAGTATGTGTGAACCCTCACCATACTGAAGTGTGTGTGAACCCTCACCATACTGAAGTATGTGTGAACCCTCACCATAATGAAGTGTGTGTGAACCCTCACAATACTGAAGTATGTGTGAACCCTCACCATACTGAAGTGTGTGTGGCAACCTCACCATACTGAAGTGTGGCAACCTCGCCATACTGAAGTGTGTGTGAACCGTCACCATACTGAAGTGTGTGTGAACCCTCACCATACTGAAGTGTGTGTGAACCCTCACCGTACTGAAGTGTGTGTGAACCCTCACCATACTGAAGTGTGTGTGGCAACCTCACCATACTGAAGTGTGTGTGGCAACCTCACCATACTGAAGTGTGGCAACCTCGCCATACTGAAGTGTGTGTGAACCCTCACCATACTGAAGTGTGTGTGAACCCTCACCATACTGAAGTGTGTGTGAACCCTCACCGTACTGAAGTGTGTGTGAACCCTCACCATACTGAAGTGTGTGTGGCAACCTCACCATACTGAAGTGTGTGGCATCCTCACCATACTGAAGTGTGGCATCCTCACCATACTGAAGTGTGGCATCCTCACCATACTGCAATGTGGCATCCTCACCATACTGAAGTGTGGCATCCTCACCATACTGCAGTGTGTGGCATCCTCACCATACTGAAGTGTGTGGCATCCTCACCATACTGAAGTGTGGCATCCTCACCATACTGAAGTGTGTGGCATCCTCACCATACTGAAGTGTGGCATCCTTACCATACTGCAGTGTGTGGCAACCTCACCATACTGCAGTGTGTGGCATCCTCACCATACTGCAGTGTGTGGCATCCTCACCATACTGAAGTGTGTGGCATCCTCACCATACTGAAGTGTTGCATCCTCACCATACTGCAGTGTGTGGCATCCTCACCATACTGCAGTGTGTGGCATCCTCACCATACTGAAGTGTGTGGCATCCTCACCATACTGCAGTGTGTGGCATCCTCACCATACTGCAGTGTGTGGCATCCTCACCATACTGAAGTGTGTGGCATCCTCACCATACTGAAGTGTGTGGCATCCTCACCTACTGAAGTGTGTGGCATCCTCACCATACTGAAGTGTGTGGCATCCTCACCATACTGAAGTGTGTGGCATCCTCACCATACTGAAGTGTGTGGCATCCTCACCATACTGCAGTGTGGCATCCTCACCATACTGCAGTGTGGCATCCTCACCATACTGCAGTGTGAACCTTGCCATACTGCAGTGTGAACCTTGCCATACTGCAGTGTGAACCTTGCCATACTGCAGTGTGAACCTCACCATACTGCAGTGTGAACCTCACCATACTGCAGTGTGAACCTTGCCATACTGCAGTGTGAACCTCACCATACTGCAGTGTGAACCTTGCCATACTGCAGTGTGAACCTTGCCATACTGCAGTGTGAACCTTGCCATACTGCAGTGTGAACCTCACCATACTGCAGTGTGAACCTTGCCATACTGCAGTGTGAACCTCACCATACTGCAGTGTGAACCTTGCCATACTGCAGTGTTAACCTCACCATACTGCAGTGTGAACCTTGCCATACTGCAGTGTGAACCTCACCATACTGCAGTGTGAACCTTGCCATACTGCAGTGTGAACCTCACCATACTGCAGTGTGAACCTTGCCATACTGCAGTGTGAACCTCACCATACTGCAGTGTGAACCTTTCCATACTGCAGTGTGAACCTCACCATACTGCAGTGTGAACCTCACCATACTGCAGTGTGAACCTCGCCATACTGCAGTGTGAACCTTGCCATACTGCAGTGTGAACCTTGCCATACTGCAGTGTGAACCTTGCCATACTGCAGTGTGAACCTCACCATACTGCAGTGTGAACCTTGCCATACTGCAGTGTGAACCTTGCCATACTGCAGTGTGAACCTTGGCATACTGCAGTGTGAACCTCACCGTACTGCAGTGTGAACCTTGCCATACTGCGGTGTGAACCTTGCCATACTGCAGTGTGAACCTTGCCATACTGCAGTGTGAACCTCACCATACTGCAGTGTGAACCTTGCCATACTGCAGTGTGAACCTTGCCATACTGCAGTGTGAACCTTGCCATACTGCAGTGTGAACCTCACCATAATGCAGTGTGAACCTTGCCATACTGCAGTGTGAACCTCGCCATACTGCAGTGTGAACCTTGCCATACTGCAGTGTGAACCTCACCATACTGCAGTGTGAACCTCGCCATACTGCAGTGTGAACCTCGCCATACTGCAGTGTGAACCTTGCCATACTGCAGTGTGAACCTCACCATACTGCAGTGTGAACCTTGCCATACTGCAGTGTGAACCTTGCCATACTGCAGTGTGAACCTCACCATACTGCAGTGTGAACCTTGCCATACTGCAGTGTGAACCTTGCCATACTGCAGTGTGAACCTCACCATTACTGCAGTGTGAACCTTGCCATACTGCAGTGTGAACCTTGCCATACTGCAGTGTGAACCTTGCCATACTGCAGTGTGAACCTTGCCATACTGCAGTGTGAACCTTACCATACTGCAGTGCGAACCTTGCCATACTGCAGTGCGAACCTTGCCATACTGCAGTGTGAACCTTACCATACTGCAGTGTGAACCTTGCCATACTGCAGTGTGAACCATGCCATACTGCAGTGTGAACCTTGCCATACTGCAGTGTGAACCTCACCATAATGCAGTGTGAACCTCGCCATACTGCAGTGTGAACCTTGCCATACTGCAGTGTGAACCTCACCATACTGCAGTGTGAACCTTGCCATACTGCAGTGTGAACCTCGCCATACTGCAGTGTGAACCTTGCCATTCTGCAGTGTGAACCTCACCATACTGCAGTGTGAACCTTGCCATACTGCAGTGTGAACCTTGCCATACTGCAGTGTGAACCTCACCATACTGCAGTGTGAACCTTGCCATACTGCAGTGTGAACCTTGCCATACTGCAGTGTGAACCTCACCATACTGCAGTGTGAACCTTGCCATACTGCAGTGTGAACCTTGCCATACTGCAGTGTGAACCTTGCCATACTGCAGTGTGAACCTCACCATACTGCAGTGTGAACCTTGCCATACTGCAGTGTGAACCTCACCATACTGCAGTGTGAACCTTGCCATACTGCAGTGTGAACCTTGCCATACTGCAGTGTGAACCTTGCCATACTGCAGTGTGAACCTCACCATACTGCAGTGTGAACCTTGCCATACTGCAGTGTGAACCTCACCATACTGCAGTGTGAACCTTGCCATACTGCAGTGTGAACCTTGCCATACTGCAGTGTGAACCTTGCCATACTGCAGTGTGAACCTCACCATACTGCAGTG